TAGATATAGAATCTAAAAAAAAAAAAAAAGCTCATAAATCCGGAGAAAAGATTGGTGGTTGCCAAAGAGGCAGGGGTTGGGGGATAGAAAGAAATGGGTGAACTGAGCTGTGTTGTGTTTTTTTTTAGTTTAAATGAAAAAATTCAGAGCAGCTTTAAAGATTTATAAATGAATACACTTTATTTGGATACATGGTATGAAAAAAAATTAACATCTCATCTTCAAAAGAAGTTCTATTTAAATTGCTTAATTTAACATACTCTTTAATAGTTTAAATATTTCATTAATTTATTTCCATATTAATGGTTTCTTTTTTAAGTCTATGTATTTTACATAATGCATTTAGAAACAATATTCTCAGAGGAGGTCCATGGTTTCAACAGCATGCCACAGCTCAAAAAGGGTTAAAACCCATGTTAAATGGAGTGTAAAATGCAGCTGCATAAGGAAGATGGTCTTTTTAAAATACATATATATATATTTTTATTGATTTCAGAGAGGAAGGGAGAGGGAGAGAGAGAGATAGAAACATCAACGATGAAGAGTCATTGATCGGCTGCCTCCTGCACGTACCCCACTGGGGATCAAGTCCGTTACCTAGGCATGTGCCCTTGACCAGAATCGAACCTGGGACCCTTCAGTCCACAGGCTGACGCTCTATCCACTGAGCCAAACCAGCTAGGGCAAGGAAGATGGTCTTGCTCTAAATCTGGACCACCAATAGAAAAGGTTAGAAATACTATTTCTGAAGAGCTAAAGGAATTAAAGCAATCAGGCCATTCTGATTCCAGATAGTTCACAGTACTTGCCAAATTATGGTTAAATGATTATTTACCTCTGTTTCTCCCTCAAGACAGGGCCAGGAATTGTGCAAGACACTCGGGATAACAAAGATGAATGCAACATCCTACCTATCCTTAAAGAGTGTGGCTAACTAGAGGATGTGGATAAGAAAATGAATGATTACAGTACAATGCAGAGGAGAGAACCCAAGTTGATCTAGGGATGGGCTGTCAGGACAACCTTTACTAGTGTTAAGCCTTCCAAATTCTTCACCTTTTCGGTGAGTAACATCTATCTTAACTTTAAAAGCATTGATAAATCAAGATAGTTGATCAAGTAGTCAGTGCTCTAGAGTAGAAAGTATAAGAAGCTTATCTTTACTAGAACATTTAGTTGCTAAGAATTGAGCCAGGCACTTACTCGTCCACATTCCAGAGTTAAAATAACACTTACAATAATAATCCTCTGTTTAATTCATTGAGCGGCAGATGTAAGATTTGCTCACTTGTTGGTATGTCAGATATACCTTCATTAGAAATAGCTGGTTATAAAAAGATACAAGATAGGAATGAAATGCCTATCAGCATTTCATTTATGCCATAAACAGTGAGTCCTGGACCAAGGGTAAAAGAAAAAAGTCTTAGAAATTAGACTTTTCAGAGCCATGACATGACCCCAACCTTCCTTTTCCTGTTACTGGAGGAGATTAAGTAACTTCTGCTGACCTTAATTTCCTATTTAAACTAGTAAAAAACAAACAAACAAACAAACAAAAAAACTAAAAAACTTAAATGCTCATTTACTAACTTGTTAGAAATTATTGGAACAAAAAAGACATTTATGTTAAAACATTCTATTTACAATAAATGTTTTCAAGGATTTGCGAAACTTCAGGCACTATAGGATTGGGTCAGAATTTGGAAATCCATTAGAAATCTATCCTATAAATATACTTCCATGGCTCCACCTTTTTTACGGGGTCCCATGACTCCACAGCAGCATTCAAATTTCAGGGCTAATGATTATGATAATTGTGTCACTAATACCCAATGTCTATACCTTTTTAGTAGAAAGTTGGTAACTACTTCCATTTTTTCCCCCTCAAGTGTTTAAACACTAATCAAGAGGAATTCTGGCCAAATACAATCATTTTTCTAAGTAAGATAACCTGAAATGTCTTTAAGATAAACTTACCTCAAGCTGAACCCTCTGTTCTAAATTCTTGTATGATCTCTGTAGTAACTCCCGGGTTCCAAGGACTCCATACCACATCAAGTTTTTAGTTCGGCTCCTGAAAATAAATGTTGGCAGGCAATTTCAGTAACTACTATTTATTTAGTCTTTAAAGGCAGAGCAAGCAAAAGAGATAATAAATGAAATCAAAGTAAAATTGCCTTCATGTAATAACATTATTACTATTACCAAAATTACCTGCATTTTTCAGGGTGCTCCTCTCTCTTATTATTAAATTCTAATGAAATTTTTGCATCTAATCCAATCCCAAAGTAATTGTTCATGACACATTTTTCTGAATATCCATCTCTATGATAATAAGGAAAAGTACATAAAAGTCAATTTCAGTTCATAACAATTACAATTTATACACAGCACTTAACACCATTAAAGCTTCCATTCCTGAGAGTAAAGTTGAGCAGAAATCACTTCCTATTCACATGAACTATGCACGACTCCAGTATATGTGTGTAAATGCTGGTAACACATAAAGGGATGGTGGGCAAGACAAAATGAAGAAAGAGTCATGGCAATGCTTTTCTACTGTCTCACAAAAATCTCAGTTCTCTCTCCTACATGAGCCCCCACTACACACACAAATGGAAGGGCTTGCAAGACTCCTCTTTTTTCATCATTAGAAAGACTCCTCCACTCCTACTCTTACCAATGGATAAATACTTAATAAGCAAAACCCTACTAGATCTATTCCATTCTTCCAGGTACTTTGGAAAGTACAAAGTTTAAAATATGGTCTTGTTGTTGAGGGTTGTCATTAGAGAAACATTTCTCTAATTAAAGAGAAATTAAACATAGAAGTAAAAGGAAGATATACTGAACTGCCAAAAAAATGTTAGGAGTTTAAGAAGGGAAGAGATTAATGTGGGCCAAAAGCTTCCTGAAATAACTAAACCCAGAAGCTGGAAGTGGAAGATGACAGATTTGGCAAGACCAAGAAGAAAGGAGGTGAAAGGAATAGCATGAATATGGATATGAAAGAGTCAGTGAATGAAATGTTCCAGAGAAAAGCGAGTATAGAGCGGAGTCTCACTTCGCCATAGGCTTATTGTCTAAGGCAGTGGTTCTCAACCTTCCTAATATAGTTCCTCATGTTGTGGTGACCCCCAATTTCATTGTTACAAATTGAACATAATTAAAGCATAGTGATTAATCACAAAAACAATATGTAATTATATATGTGTTTTCTGATGGTCTTAGGCGACCCCTGTGAAAGGGTCGTTCGACCCCCAAAGGGGTTGCGACCCACAGGTTGAGAACCGCTGGTCTAAGGCAACAGCTGGAAGGGACCCACCTCAGGAACAGGTCATGAAAACCACTGTATTGCACAAGGGCCAATGTGCTCATCATTATCAACTGCTGACATTTTCTGATGATTCTTTTTGTACGTGGAACCGTATTTATTGTAATACATTTTAAATGTTACCATTAGTATCAAACAGTGACAAGAAAAGCCAAAACAAAATCTATGGAAGTATTTGCTTACACTGAATCTGGATCTGGGTCAATAAATGGGTTGCACCGAAAGGATCAATATTTGCTAGTAACATTTTGTTGATAATAGAACTCCCAGCAATTGAGGCAGCTAGTCCTGCTCTTAAACCTGGACAGGGAAAAATAAGCATATACAGGATCACATGTTAAGGAAAATCCAGTCCATATTTTTAGGACTAATTTCAAAGCATGGTTTTCAGTGCCTGCTCTTCTCATTAATAAAAATTAAGAATTATGACATTGGTAGGTACAAGGCTTTTGATGCTTCTTAGAGTCTATATGTTGCTATAAAAAAAAGAGAAACAGATGAGTACCTACATCAGAGTCTCTTGGTAACCGTTTCTCATTTACCATCCCAATGATTCTGTAACTTCAACAAATATTACTTCCTTTGTTATAACAAATGAAGTATTAAGACTGTAAGAAGTTTACAATAAAGGCTGAATTACTCAAAATGTCATGGAGTTACCATTTCCATATTCACAAAGCATAGATAATACTCAACTTAAAATGTTAACATATATACTAAGGTGAAAAATCATGTTGGTGTCAATAATAAGTAGTAAAATGTTAAGTGTAGGTATTTATAAATTTTAGAATATAGTATTGAACATAAAAAATGAAGCATTTTTCTTACTTCTAAATATGCAAACTTCAAATTTATTTATTGGCCATTTGTATGTCTTTTTGGGAAAATGACTACCAAGATCCTTTGCCCATTTTTAAATTGGGATATTTGTCTTTTTATTGTTGAAATTTTAGTTCTTTATATATTCTGGATACTAGCAACTTATCAGATATGCTATTTGCAAATATCTTCTCCCATCCTGTGGACTGCCATCTCAGTAGTTTCTTGATGGTGTCCTTTGAATCACAAATATCCTTAATTTTGATGAAGTCCAATTTATAGTTTCATGTGTTGCTTGTGCTTTCTAAGAAATCGATGCCTATTCCAAGGTTACAAACATTTACGTCTATACTGTCTTTTTGTGGGTTTATAGGTTTAGCTCTTACATTTTTATGTATCGTGTGAAAGAAGGGTCTAACTTAGTTCTTATGTATATCTAGTTGCTCCAGTAGCAGTGGTTGAAAAAACTATTCTTTTCCTGTTGAATAACTGTCTTAGCACATTTTGTTGAAACCAATTAACCATAAATATTAGAGTTCTGGATTCTCAGTTCTATCCCATTGGCCTATATGACTATGATGCCAGTTCCATGTGGTCTTGAACACTGTAGCTTTGTAATAAGTTTTGAAATCAGGCAGTATGTCCTTCAACTTTCTTTTTCCATTACAATGTTGTTTTTTAACTCTTCTGGGTCCTTTGTATTTCCATGTGAAATTTAAGATCAGCTTGTCAATTTCTGCACAATGAGCAGTTGGGATTTTGGTAAGGATTGTGTGAAATCTGTAGTCAATTTGAGATGAGTTGCCATCTTAATAATATTATGTCTTCCAATCCATGAACACAGATGTATTTACATTTAATTAGATCTTCTTTAACTGCTTTCAGCAATGTTTTGTAGTTTTCAGTATTCAAATCTTTCACCTTTAGTTAAATTTATTCTTATTTTTTGTTATTTTTTATGCTATTGTAAATAAAATTATTTTAATTTCATGTTAAGACTGTTCATTACTAGAGAAATGCAATTACTTTTTGTATATTGATCTTTTATCCTGCAACCTTGTATTCATTTATTATCTCTACTAGTGTGTGTGTGTACTCTTTAGGATTTTCTATATGTAACATAAGTCCTAAAGACATACAGTACTTCCTCCTTCCTAATTTGGATGTCTTTAATACTTTTTATTTTTTCTAATTTCCTAAGCTAAAACCTCCTATACAATGTTGACTAGAATGGAAAGAGTAGACATCCTCCTTGTGTTCCTATTCTTAGAGAGAAAGCTTTCACCTTTCACCATTAAGTATGATGTCAGCTGTAGGTTTTTCATAGATGCCCTTTATCAGGTTGAAGAAGTTCCTTTCTATTCCTGGTTGTGTTTTTACCTTCAAATGATGTTGACCTTTTAAAAATGCTTTTTCTGTATCTACTGAGATGATTATGTGTTTTTGTCCATTATTAATATGGTATGTCACGTTGATTTTCATTATGTTGAACCAACGTTGCATCACTGAGAGAATACTGGTAATGGTGTATAATTGCTTTGAGTTGTTGGATTATTCAATTAGCTAGAATTTGGTTGGAGATTTTTGTGTTGCTATTCATGAACGATATTGATCTGTAGTTTTCTTGTGATGTCTTTGGTTTTATATCAGGGTAATACTGGATTCATAGCATGGTGGAAAGTGTTTTTTCCTCTTCTAGTATTTCAAAGTATGTGTGAAGGATTGGTGTTATTTCTTCTTCTTTTTTAATTGATCTCAGAGAGGAAGGGAGAGGAAGAGAGAGAACATTAATGATGAAAGAGAATAATTGATTGGCTGCCTCCTGCACACCCCCTACTGGGGATCGAGCCCGCAACTCAGGCATGTGCCCTTGACCAGAATTGAACCCAGGATCCTTAAGTCTGCAGGCCAACACTCTATCCACTGAGCCAAACCAGCTAGGGTGGTGTTATTTCTTCTTTAAACTTCAACAGTGAAGCAATTTGGGCCTGGGCTTTTCTTTATAGAAAGTTTTTTATTATAAATTCATTCTCTCTACTTATTTAAGGTCTACTCAGATTTTCTATTTCTTCTTGAAGCAGTTTTGGTAGTTCGTGTGTTTCTAGGAGTTTGTCCATTTCATCTAGGTTATCTAATTTGTTTTTCCCTTATAATCCTTTCTATTTCTGTAAAGTCCACGGTGATGTATTGTTTTAATTCCTGAGTTCAGTAATTTGAATCTCCTATCTTACTTTCTTGATCAATGTAAAGTTTTGTCAATTTTGTTAATCTGCTCACAGATCAACTTTTGGTTTCATTGCTTTTCTGTCTTGTTTTCTATACTCAATTTCATTTATTTCTACTCTAATCTTTATTGATTTCCTTCCCACTGCTGCTTTGAATTTAGTTTGCTCTTCTTGTTTTTCCAGTTTATTAAGTTGGAGAGTTAGGTTTTGAGATCTTTATACTTTTTTTAATACAGGCATTTACAGCTACAAATTTTACTCTAAGCACTGCTTTAGCTGTATCAAATAAGTTTTGGCATATGATATATTTTTGTTTTCATTCATATCAAAGCATATTTTATGATTTTTTTCTCTTTTTAAATGTATCTTTATTGTTGAAAGTATTACAGATGCCCTTTTTCCCCCATTGACCCCTTCTAACCCCCACCCACATCCCGTCTCAGGCCTTCACCACCCTATTGTCTGTGTTCACGGGTTATGCATATGTGCATATAAATTCTTTAGTTAATCTCTTTCTACTCACCTATCTACCCCCACCTTCCCTCTAAGATTTGACAGTCTGTTCTATGTTTTTATATCCCTGG